TGACAATATTTTATTCTAGAGATCACTTTATTATTTTTGGTTTCCTACTTAATTTTGTACTCATTATACTTAACTTTAAACCTTATGGATCTTTTGTAGAATATGAATATACCTTAATGATATCAGGACTAATGTTGAAAAAAAATACTTCAATTTTCTATATAAAATCGTATTTTGTCAAGCCACTTCTTGCATTCGTTGAAAGTTCATAAGGTAAAGTAGTAGTGAGAGAAATTGACAGTTTTTATGCCCTTTTATATTAAATTTAATTCATCTATCTATGCAAGAAGTGTCACGACCTTTTACTATTATCTGTTTATTACTCAATTTGTGTTATTTATTACATATTATTTTACTTAAAATAGGTAATTTGTCACAACTAAAGAACTTCTTATAATTATTACAGTAGATTTATATCAATGTATTTTTAGACGTATTTCTTGGAATAGTTTAAAGTATTAACATGAATAATATATATTTAATTTGATGACTAATAGACAATAACACATAGACTACTGAATAATGAGAGGTGTATGTATTATAACAGTATAAGTTCTGTAAATGTAAACAAATGGGATGATTATTAATTTATTTTTTCTCTTATAATATTTAGTAGATTTTATTTTTGATTGAAATTTTATGGTCATCATTTGCGTTACTGTGGTATTAAACTAAGTTTGAAATAAAAACTTGTGAATTTATTAAAAAAAAATGCAATTACAATTACACCAATAGTTTACAATTACCCCACATTGCCATATTAATATAAAAATAACTATTTTCTAATAAAAATATTATTTGAATTTTCAGAATTGGTATTAAAATGAATATTTACAAGTCTTTAGATGAAAGTTTTGTAAATAACTAACAGAATACTTGGATAAAAACTTTTTCAAATACCTCTAGGAATAATTTTTTGAATTGTTATATTCAATCTCAAAATTATTATATATTTTATTTATTAAATTATATACATTACTCAGCCTAAGAGAATCATTATTGTTAATCATTGATTGATAAATAAATACAATTAAAAAAAAACCAGCTCAGTGGGGTCGCGGCACAGTGGGGACGTGATATAGTTAGGTCCAGTATAGATTATATCTGACACTGATTAAAATCACTATCATAAAAAACGCTTCGATGCAAGTCTGTAGATAGTTTTAAGAAATTATTTAATTATTCTAAAAGCAAAATTAACTCCTATTTCTATTATTATTCCTAATTAGTAGTTGATTTATAAGTATAATTTATGAATAAATATATTTATATTTAATAGATATATATCTATTAAAGTAATTCAACGTAGTATGAAATGGATATTTAATATTTAATAATTGTAATTTTTTTGGATAATTTATAAAAAATTATACATTAGTTATTACTTTTATGGCAAGCATGTGCAAAAATTGAAGGGCTTGACACAGAACTTTTTAGATAATAATTTGTTGTTAATTATGGATAAATGGTCAACAAAAAATCTTCATCAAAATATAAAATATAGTTTTATTCAATATTTCGTGCTAATTTCATATCAGCAATTATATGTTTTCCATCACCAATAATTTTTGAGGTTATCACTAATTAGTTAAAAACTATAGGATATAATTATAAGGAAAATAGCTCTGAATATTTCAATTGTATCATTTATTTAAACACCAAGAGTTACATAAAAATGATTAATATTTTTTTTTTAATGATTTATAACAATAAAAAAATAATTAAAACAAAAAAATTGTTTTTATAAAGATGTATTGAAACAATATTTAATACATATTAACGAGGTTAACTGTGTCCGCGCCAGTAAAGGCTTTACGCTGAGAAACACTGTGCCATCACAGTCTTGTTCATTATATTTTGAATATAGACATATTCCTATAATTATATTTTGACGAGTTCAGAATAAATTTTAAGTATATCGATATCGATTATAGGGAATTCATCGAAAATATTATTAGTAAAAATATAGTATAATATAAAAAAAGTTTAAAAAAATATATAAAAAAATGTAACAAATTATAATAGACGCAGGTCTCATTGTAAATAATCTTTTCTAAATTTGATATATACACAGAGACTAATTAATTGAAATAAACGCAAGTCACTATAAACGATTATTAACACTGAAAGAAGAAATCACCATAAGATTAACTCAGTCAACTACGAAAGGAAATAAAGGTAAATGCGAATATTTATTTGTATGCTTTAATTCTTAAAAATTTACGTAACAAACAAGAATAAGAATAAGTGAGGTAAAGAAATTTTATTATTTTATAAATAAATGTAGTTCGACCCCGAGATAACATTTCATACCTTACCACCATATCCTCTGCTATTTTAATTTTTGTTTATTGCACTACAGTATATATATATATATATATATATATAACACTCATGGTTAATAACAATATAAATATTTATTAAGTAAAGAAATATTAAATAAACAATACAACCTGCTGGTCACCTAGAGATGATAATCATACAGGAGCTGACGGCGACACACACTATTTCGGTGGTAGCTAATTTAAATTAAGTAAAAGACAAAAGAGTAATGGTTGCGATGATGGTAAAAAGTCAACTACTGTTTGGGACATTAGTATTATGGCACGGTGGCCGTGAATTCCAATAGTTTTTATGTGTGCAATCTGTCCTTCTGTAGTAATACGCGTGTCATTGTGTCATTTTTATAAGCCTAGTCGGCGGTACAATGATGTTGTGGGATATGATTATGTATATGTGATCGTATCAGTGTAATGAATTAAAATAGAAGTTTCGAGAAACTTCTAGAATAATTTTTTCACACAAAGAATTATCAATTTTAATTAATTTTCTGACCAACAATTATTTTATTACTTTTTACAAATATATCGCTCACTCAGATCGATGTTTACATTAATGTCAATCTTTTTAATTACCATAAGCGTATTTGTGGCGTCAAACAGACGGCAGAATGAAATAGATAAATTCTTAAAAAAAAACCCGCCTCCCTATCACTTTACCCACAAGTTTAATATAAAAGGGCTAGGAAAATTAGTACACCAATTCATTAATCACCCATACTCTTATTCTTTCATATTAAAGTTACTAATTCAAACCATAGGAATAAATTCAGTATGTTGCTCCTGATATCAGTATTTTTATTTATTTAAATTAAATTAATATATCCACGTCGACAAGGGACATCAAAATTCATCATCTATCAACGAGTCCATCTGGATATCAAGATAAGTGTAGACATATACGATATTTATGTAATATTAAGAAATATGATAAAGTGGGTAACAGATTACGATGATATAAATAAATCTAACTCAATCCATTTAATTTAAACCCTTTCCCTCCACCTCGCTTTCTTTTTATTACAAAGTGGCGACCAACTCGTGGCTTTGAATCTACTTCCTAAACACATATTATTACAATATTTTTCAATGTTCCTAATTTTTATAATATATTGCACATTACAAATGTCAGATTTAACGAAACAAAATCTTATTTCGGTAGTAAAATATATGATCAGCATAGTAACTTTTCAAATAAAATCAAAATTATCGTTATTTAATGATATATCCCGCAGATATACTTTGGGATTCTACTCTTCGCCTCAACATAAACGTACAAAGTACACTACTTATTCAAAAATATATAAACACCTTTATAAATGATCGCACAACCTTTTCTATCACAGTAAGTATTATTTTAACTTATCCCACATTAATACAGATTATTTATTTAAAAACATTCTTCATATAAAATTTCACAAATTTTATTCAAACNAACATTCTTCATATAAAATTTCACAAATTTTATTCAAAGACGAAAACATTTCACGCATAAATCTTGAAATAGTTGATGAAAAATAATTTTATCCCCAATAATTGAGATAAATATAAAAATTTTCTGTAACTTTTATTTTTAAAAAAAAAACCCAGCACAGTGGGGTGGCGGCACAGTGGGGTCGTGGCATAGTTGGGTCCAGTATAGATAATATCTGACAGTGATTAAAATCATTATCATAAAAATACGCTTCGATGCTAATCTGTAGATAGTGTTTAATTAAAAAAAAAAATTTGTTAAAATAGCATATTTTTGAATAAGGTAGTCATTTGCGCATAGAAGATAGGTTGTCGGGACAAATTTTTTTTTTCATTTTATAGCACATAAAATAAGCTTTAATTTGATATATGTTTGAAGGACGCAGTATTTCCGGAACATTTTCAAAAATTAAGTTGAAAAAGTTAATTTTTGTAAAAAAGTTGCTATTTTAAATTCCCCCCTAATGAGCAGGTTAAGTGATAGNAAAAATTAAGTTGAAAAAGTTAATTTTTGTAAAAAAGTTGCTATTTTAAATCCCCCCCTAATGAGCAGGTTAAGTGATAGATTGTTGTGCGGGCCAACGTGGTAAAAGGAATTAAACTTAATAAGAAAAAGAAAACACTCACTTTTCAATAAAACTTTAGAATATATAATTTGATTG